CTCGCAGTTCGGTCCGCTCGTTTTATTTCTTATTTTTTTTCTTGTTGTTGTTCTCCTCGTTATTTATTAATGGAGCGGCGTAAAAGCGGCTGCTTTTCATGTGCACAAGTGTTTACAATAAACCTGTTTTCCTTGCTATCTAATTTTCCAGAAACGAAGTGACGGAGAGAGAGAGAAAATGAGGAAGAGAGATGGAAAGGAAACGAAACAACAAAGTACACGTAATCAAACAGAAGGATGAAGAAAACAAGCAAAGCGAGCGGCGACAATAGAAAATCTCGCATTGTTTGTACCTAAACCACAATCTTCCCTTCGAAAGATCTCCGAAGAGGAAAAAAAAAAATCAACATCCGACTGATTTATATTACATAAATATATGTAAGCAGTAAATCCACGAAGTCGCCTTCGTTCCTTATGCTTATTTGTTTCCTCTTCACTTTTTTTTTCTCTTCTCTTCGTTTACGGAGAACTCGCTGTTTTTATTTACGTCCGGTCTTCGAATAGCAAATACGCATTTCCGTTCGACGCAATTAAAACAAACAATTGTCGCGGTGCATTTAATGCGATTCAACCTTTAGCCGTGTCCATTCGCTCTGCCTCCTTTAATAGACAGCGAAACGCTTAACCCGAGGTTAACTTTTTAACATTTAAACAAACATTTCATTAATAATAATAATACTTCCATTCCAAATCATTCTAATATTTCACATTTAACTGACAGATTTGACATTTGTTTTGACACAATACTTGTCAAATTTGGCATAACTAAATCTAAGAAAATAAAGTGCATATTTCTATATCTAAATATATTTAACATTCAACAGTTCTTCATTGTTAAACTTCAATTTTTCCTATTGACTACGTTTCGATAAATGCGTTTGGTGTTATTTATTACACGAAGACAATGTGCTTCGTTTCGAAACACATATATTTTGTTTTTTGATAAGGAATTACGAGTGAAACTGTGAGCTCAACAGAAGATAACACGACCCACAAAGAACTAAGCGAGAGAGGCTAATTTCCACTCAATGTAACGCGCAGATTATCATATTAGTGTTATCAAACAATTCACAGATCAAACTTTTATTTGTTATTATATGCACAGTCAACTGAAGATACTAAATTGTTAATTTACCTAACTGTATTGGAAATTTGGTCTTAAAAAGTTTGAAAATAAACTTGTTAAATTGACTTTTTGGAAGTCAAACTTTTAACGCTTTGAACAGAGAAACGTGTGCCAAAATTAAGAGACGCCATGGAAGATGGAAAGGACCAGATGGCTCAGATTTTGTTTTTCTTCTTTCTCTCAAGAAACGCATCTCTTGGTGCAGCCCCTTGACACATGTCAAACTGGCATGACTAATTTGTAGAAACGCCTGCGCCTGTCACATCAATCTCTGACAGTTAACAGTTTATTAACAATTGGTTATATCTAAACATGATAAATCCATTAGCAAACATTTAGTTAATAATAAATTTAGTTATTTCTTTTTGTATATATAAAATCACATAGAATCGTTTAAACAATCATTATTTCACAAATTTAAAGAACATAACGTTTACTAACTTTGATTAATTGTACAATTATACAATTTTCATGATAATTTACAAATTTCAGTTTTAAATTTGAACTTATTCAATTTTTGAGACAAATTACAAAATTTAGATTTGTTTAACAAATTTGAGTATAATTAATTTAATTACTTATACAAACATTGCAAATTAATCATATTATTTATAGTTTCATTATTAATTTACAAATTTGAACTAGAATTTCTCGTTTACAATATTAAATTTGTTCAATTTTCACAAATATGTCAAATGTCAATTTTGACAAATATGTCAATTGTCATAATTCAAACTTAATAATTAACTAAAATATTTTGATCAGAAATTGTATTGATTTCAATGCAATTATCAAATTATTTTTTATACAGAAAATATTTGATGAGAATGCCATAAATTTAGTTTAAAGGTTAGATGAATAAGTTAAAGTTGAAGTTTATTTTTATGTTTTCTGATGTTTTTACGTATTGCGAAAGCGCGCATAACAATAATAATTCAGCTAATTTACCAAGGACGAATACGTTTTATTTATTTATTTTTTTCCTAGATTTGCAGTAATATCCATGGCATGTTCGTGTTATACAAGTGACGTTTATTATTCCGAGCGCGAAAGACAAAGAAAACAAAAAAAAATGCGGTTGAATTCGTCAGAAACGTTTACAAAATGAAACAGATTTTTTTTTTGTTGTCTTTGACAAAGTGGAGGAGGAAAAGGAAGCTTTCTGTAAATCAGCTTCATTTCTCGAGAATTTCAGGCAGGAAGGAAACTCGATCCCTGTGCGATTCCAGAAATCAACGTTACGCAACTCGAGAAGCTTAGATTAAAATTTTGAAGAAAAATATTTTGTTTTTATTCTGCTTCAATTTGTTTTATTGCAATTCTGTTGACTTCCAACCGCAACGGTTGTTAAAAATTGTTGGTTTTACATGCACTAAGTCGAAGTTAAACGGTTTTGCAATGTTTTTACCCACTTTACGGGGATTATCGAAAGTGTTTTCTTTCATCTTTCTCCAGGGTGTGATTTTTGGGAATCCTCCGGTGTTTACGACCCGAACGAAACCTCTGGGATGGCGTCATTCGTGGAAGAAGTTTATTTTACGATCCTCTTTGCTAATGCCGAAACCGCAGAAAAGAAGAAGGAGGAAACTTGAAAACCGTTCTGTTTTCTTTCCCTTCTTTTATGACCCCCCCAATTTTTTCTGTTGTTAAGATCATCCCATTGTAATCTCCGCAACGTCAATTACGACAACTCATTGTTCAGATCACGTACAACCGTTTTAGGAGAAGACACGCACCTGTTTAATAAGGATATAAATTGATTAGTATCCAAGGAAAAACATTCAATAAATTCGTTAATTGCAAAATAAAAAGAAAGAAAACGTTCATTTCTATATGTACAAATTCCTAAAGAAGTTTGATTCAATAGAAATCAGCGTTTCTCAAACTTTTTGTCCCACGGCTTTGACACAAGGTGACAGCTGTCAATGTCATTTTTGATATTCTTCACGAGAAATTCCATAATTTTACAAGTATTAAACGGAAATTTAATAATTTCATTCATCTTTTCTCCATCTGTGAAACGTAATTATGAATGTTAATAAAAAGAATTTCGAAAGCGAAACTACAGAAGATTAAACGATGTGTATTTCCTTCTCTAAACATATTTTTTTTGTGTCATCTTCTTCAAGGGATTAGTACGGTCAGGAAGGAAGTTTAATCTTTGTTTGAGACTTATTTTCTATCTTCCCTGTAAGTTTACACGAAACGCTGGATTTGTGCTTTCCTTGAAATCTGGAAATCCGGTGAAACTTTGAATGATAAGGGATATTTACACATCCGATGTTTGCTTTGCTCGTCCGTCCATCCATTCACGTGTTTTTCCGGTTTACTGTGTTGTTTAACTCTTGCGTTTGTGAGCAGGAAGAAGGGTTTAATCTTTGTTTGAATTTTCTAAGAATTTCTGTTGAGTTTTTGGTGCATCTTTCCAAATTCCTACCTTTTATTAGTTCACACTTTCTTTTATTATTTGTTGTACATTGTAAATCTTCATTTCTACAACTTTTCTCTAGTTTTATGACATTTTAAACGTTTACTGCCCTTTACATACGAAATCCCACCAAATTTTTATCAAATCATTTTCTCCACTATTCAACATAAAAATAACTCTTTTCTTCTTCAAATTTTACTATTAATTTTAATATTAAATTAATTAAATTATTGTTGAAAATTTATTCTCAAGAATGATGTCAATAATGAAAATTTTTATGATTCTACTACTTGAAAAGATTTGTTTTTATTATATGCGTTTATAAAATGAGTATAAAATTTACTGTTTGTGTTTGTTAATTGGTTAACAATAAAATATTCATGATGTAAAAATCTTGAGGTCGATGAAACTAACGAAATTCGGGCGAAAATTGAAGATTTTTGTGTCTTAATCCAATTGTAATTCTTAGTAGATTCTTTTTGAAAAAAATAATAATAACAGATGGTGCTTATTTGTTAAAGCAGTGTAATTATTAGTGATTTTTGATGTTATTAATGAAAATCTATGTATTTTTCTACAAAAAGATTTCTATTTAGAGAACTTTACAAACCTTAATATAGTTTCAATACTGAAAATTTCATAAAATTGTTATTGTTAATTGTAAGAAATAATAGATGGTGCTTATTTGTGTGAGAAGTGTGAATAGAAATTTGTCCTATTAGATGAATTTATGCTGGTTAGAAAATGTTTTTCAATTGTGTTAAGACTAAAAGAAAGAAGAAAAAAAAGGAGGCGGTGTAGGAGAGAGGTAGAATTCGAATCGGGTTGGGGTCGGTCCTGGTTGCTGGACGATATACACACAGCATAGAGAGGAGGAAGAAGAGGGACCCTCTTCGGATTTTTATCGATGACCGAATTAGGATGGTGTGATTCGGGGAACGGACGATTGGCGAAAAAAAAAAAGAAGAAAGGAGGAGAGAGATACGATCGAGGTGTGAGAGCGAGCGAGAAAAAAAGGGAATAAACAGGTGTAGGAAAGTGTGGCGAAGGAGAGCGGCAGGTAGAAAATGAATGGTGATTTGAATAAGAAGGGAAAAAAAGAGAGAGAGAGAAAGAGCGAGCGAGGAATAGCGGAAAGACGGTCGTTTGGAGTGAGATGAAGAGGATGGAGAATAAGAAGAAGATGAGGTTGAGGTTGAAGAGGATGAGGAGGAGGCTGCGTGGCTGGCGCTATTCTGCCATCTGTTCGGCTGCTGAATGAAAAGCAAAGGGAGCGACGCTTTGTCTGGCCTCGCTGGCCTGGCGACAGCCTGTCTGGCGTGACCGGGCGCGACGTTGCCGACTCCTCGCATTCCATACGACTCGAACACCCTTTCCCTGGGGTCAGAGGTGGCGTGTACGAAAAACAATTGCACCCCGTCGACGACCGATCAGAGGGCTTCGCCGGTGACGTTGTCCGGACGCGATCGGACGGTGTCACGAGGAGGTCCTCCACGTGCCGGAGATCCGACAACCGGGCACACTCAAACTTGTTTCATAAACGGATGTCGGCGCCTCCCATCGGTGCGGTAGGTAGCAGACATACGGGCGCCTTGCGAGGGGGCATTCTGTGAGGATCCGAGCAGACGTACGGACGTGTGAATAAGTCGGGGGGATTGCGACGATCCTCAAACTACAAACCAACCACAACAACAAGGTAGTCTTCCTATTTTACATCATCATCAACAACAACAACAACTGCATTTCATTTTTGGGGGTACTTGTTGTCAAGAAGAAGACTGCAGAGTTTGTGTTCGAAGAGTGGGGCCGACTTTCCGTGAATCGTGACCAATAAGACACAGAAAAAAAAATATATATAGAAAATGTTTGCTGCTGCTGCACGCACACACGCAGCACGCAACAGATAGTAAAGTTTACATATACACACACACACACATATACGAAAGCATCGAGTGTATTATCGTATTGAGAGAGTGCCGAAGATTTATTATTTACTCTTGTTGTTCGAACGCGAGTGTTCCCGGTTTCTTTTCATCTTTGTTGGGTCAGCGCGAGACCCGGTGGTGCCTTCAAATGGTTGTGATGGCGCACGGTGTGAACGCGGAGATGAAGCGGAGCGGGAAGGGAGGAGGAGTAGGAGACGCGAAGACGGGGATCGGGTCGAGGAGGATCTTCCCGCCGCACTTCAAGCTCCAGGTGCTGGATTCGTACAGGAAGGACGCTGATTGTAAGGGAAATCAGAGGGCGACGGCGAGGAAGTACGGGATACACAGGAGGCAGATCCAGAAGTGGTTGCAGGCGGAGGGCAATCTGAGGAACAGCGTCGTCATGGTGTCTGCGAAAGCTGCGACCGGATTAGGAGGTGCCGCCTCCGCCGCCGCCGTTGCTGCTGCTGCTGCTGTCATCGGTGTTGGTGTTGGTGGTGCGGAGAGCGAGGCGAGGAAGTGCGGGCACGTCGAGATGTCCTTGAGCCGCAGACAGCGCGACGACGCGCCGCTCGACTCGTATCCACCGCAGCAGCAAACGACAGCAGCCTCCAGAGTTCCGGCACTCAGCCCATCATCGTACTCCTCTTACCAAGAGATTGCTATGACGACGACGACAACAACGACGATGACGACGACCATCATGAGCGACGACAACAATCATTGGCAACCCTTGGACTTCTCCACGCAATCCCGAGAAGCGCCCATCGACCTTTCCCTCAAGAGACCCACGCCGAGTCCGTCGCCCGCGACCTCACCTCCACCCATCTACGCGCCTACTGCGACCTCCTTGCCGCCCCAGCATCCCGACATCTGGGACCTCTCCACCAAACCGAAACCCACCAAGCTCTTCAAACCCTACGACCTCGACGACTTCCACAACAACAATAACAACAACAACAGCAGCAGTAACAACTACAATTACAACGACACGTACACGCTGCACGAGCTGAGGCCTCACATCTACCAATGCTACCAGACCTCCTATCCGCACATGTACTACGAAGACCAAACGCACATCCTGAAGCAGCGTCACAGCTACTCCCTGGACTTCAAGCTCAACGCCATCGAGTCGTACTATCAGGACGACAGCTGCAAAGGCAATCAACGGGCGGTCGCCTCCAAGTACAACATCCACCGACGGCAGGTCCAGAAGTGGCTCAAACAGGAGGACGAACTTCGACAGAGGAACGACCACGCACACACCGTTAGGTAGAACGTACCATATCCAACACATATCCATATTATTATTATTACTACTATTATTATTACTGTACATACTGTAGTTTGTTAGTTATTATTATTTTTTTTTATATATTTACATTAAGCCTAAAAGAGTCTATTATATATATATATCTAGAAAAAGAAGAAAATCATATATATATATATTTTTCCAAAATTTGCTTTAACTAAATTTTAACTGATATACTATTAGACACTAAAAGAGAACAACTGAAACTAACACTTTAACCAGAGATGGCGGCCTCAAGGCCGAAACGCTATTGCGTCGTCAGCATCAAGAAAGAATAAAAACATATATTTTTTTCAACAATTTCCTCAACATCATTCTTTATAGCCCTTTTTATTTATCACAACTACACTAATTTCAATGCAAACATTACACCAATCAATTACATAGAAAATCTTATAAATTACAATCATCTTAAATAATAAGATTTTTTATATTTTGATTAATTACTAAATTTTTATATGAAAATATAAGGAAATCAACAATTCTTAAACATTTGTTATGTCATTTAAACGTAATTACAACTACTTCAATCGCATCAGCACTGAAAGTAATTAAATGAAGACGACGAATAAAACAAAAGTTGTTCATTTGTCATCATCAACGCCAATGTAACAAAAATTCTAAAAGTAGACGTGAAGTGTGGGGCAAAACAAAAAAAAGTCAATTGATACTACGTGAATAATTATAAACTTCACTTGTTTTAATGCCAAAAGCAATTAAATCAAATGCGCTGTGCATTTCTAAACCAATAAACTGTCGATTCTGAAATGTCAAAATGTTACATTTGTTTTTTAATCAATCGACTGACACTATTACAAAAAAAAATTGAACTCTGCTCAAGTTAGAGCACTTTGTTTATGCAATGTTTCGAGATGTCAGCTGTCTCTGTGATTTAGATTCAAGGGTAAAGATCAGATTAATGTTTATGGTTGTGCGCGAATTAGCACTTGATTTCGATTATGACCTCTATTAGCAGATTTCTGTTTTTTTTATATAGATGTATATATATATTCATTCTTTCCTTTTCCACACGTTGCGTAAGATCGTACAAATTATTTATATCAGCAGCTGGCAGCTGTTTGATTCACAAGCGCAACTGTGTTGTTATCAAGTCGTGCACAACATCCTCGTTTGCAAGTTGATACACTGAATAGTTATTTTTTTGCTTTGTTCTTTACTTCATCGTATTTAGCAATCAATCAATTTCAACTTTTCTTTTCTTAAAATGTATACTTCTATTCGTTTCCATGGACACACACACAGATAACAATCTAACTTTATCTGGGCAATGATGACTAGCTGTCATGACGCGATCCTTCTTTAGTCGGGTCACGATGACTAACGCTCTGTTCTCCCCTTATCGGTGGAGGAGGAGGAAGAGGAGGAGATCAAAAGCAAGCAAACGCCTTGAAGCAGTCATTCCTATTTTTCCTCGTTCTGTCTTTTGAATTTAAAAATAATGAACGCATTTTTTGTTGTCGCTGTGTTATTTATACGTTCCGATTTGGCGCTGCCGTCCAAACGGTAAAACAGAACGACCAGGTGCCAATTCGTTGATGACATCTCCGGAGACAATGTGTCACGCGGTTTCCGCGGCAACGATCAAACGACGATCGTGGATGGGCTATTGTTATTGCATTGCGCCAGGCGCGTGCCATATGCCAACGTGATTATCAAATGATGCTGACGTTCGAACCTGTGACATTTCAATACAGAACGTCATACAATTGACATTTTGCTTCTGTTTACCCGAAAATAGATTAATTTCAAACTATTATTATCGTTATATCAATAGACATTTTTAGTAAATGGTCAACAGTTTCAGTCACAATCATAATGACGTTATTATTAGAACATAAACATCCTGCATCAATGTTTAATGATTGTGTCAATAAGAGCAAAATTCAATTAGAATTAGACAATTATTGTTAATTACAAATCAATCTAATTAAAAAAGTGCTATTCAAATTATGTTACTTTAATTTTCGATTAATTTAGGTAATTTTAAGCGAAAAAAATGTCATATTTGACAAAATTTGTGTGACCTAATTTCATTTTCAATTCGCGTTCAAGTGGTTTCGATAAAGATATGGACTTCAATTTAGCTATTGATCACGTAGTTATGGAAACGAGGAATATTCATTTTATGATGATTTGATTAATGCTATAAACTGTGCAGTTGTCAAGTGGTGATGACATTGGCGATCATGTTTTGTTTACGTGATTTCTATCAATTTTTTTTTATATTGTGATTATGAAATTTGAATGTTCAAGTGATTATATTGATTTAGTATCATTTGCAAGAAGTTTATATTTACGATTGAAGTTTACAAAATTTAAAAAAAAAAACAAATTTTCAAGTGATTTTGACAATGATGATGATCATAGTTACATTATTTACGAAAAGAGTTGTCAAAGAGATGGCGATGATGTAATTGAAGTTAGGTTATGTTTGACTTACATGATTATCACTTGTTTATTATCACCTAGTTACGAAACGAGTAGCTATGGAAACAAAAGAGATATTATTATTGCGTTGATTTGATTGAGGAATGTTTAAGAGTTGTTGATGATCTAAGTAAAATGTTTCTTTTCCATCTGAATAACACGTTTTCTCTTGATGTAATACAAACATTGAACTTAGAGAAAAGAAAAAAAGAAGGTGATGTTCAGGTTGAATTATTGAAGCGCTTTCCTTGTTGTCGCTCCATCCATCCAGTCGAGGTCCAAAAATAAATCGGGATAAGCGCGAGGCAAGAGAAAACGTCGGAGAGTCCAGTAATAATAATAATATTGATGATGATGGCGATGATGATGATGAAAAGCGTGAATGCGAGGCCTCTAATCTCGCGATAAATGTGCCGAAAGATACAAATATCGCTCGCCTCGTTATCAATTAAAGTGATGTTGATTTCGAAATGGAAAATATATATGTATCATCGTTTTATATGAAAACGACTCTTTTGTTTTTTCCCACGCGGAAAATCTGGAGGCCTCGAAAGATGGAAAAACGCAATTGACCAAAAACGGACTTTCCGTCAGATAATTTGAAAATGTTTTTGCTGTAAACCGCAAAAATCCGATACATTTTGCTCACATATATAACATATTTGATATTGTATAGTATTTTTTTTTAAGAGTGAATACTATTTTTGACTACTTACAAGTTCTTCGATCGTGCCTTGTGAATTTTTTGAATTTACCGCCTTAACCAATCTCTCCGGATGTTCAGATTTACACTCCATTTTGTTGTCGTTTTTTTTGTTGTTGTATAAACGATTTAGTGCCAAAATAATAATTAATAAAAACGAGTGTAAATATTAGTTTTTAAGTTTGTATTTCGTAAATACTAGAGAGAAAACGCAATAAGTAATTGGATCAATGACGAACAGCAATTTATTATTAATATATTAACGTAATTATTATATTTATATACATATAGATTATATATTAAATGAAAGATTATATATTTATAGAGATTAAACTAAATAATTTAATTTAAAAAAAAATACACAAACAAAATGAAAATTGTCTTCCCAAATGTTATATAATTATTAATAAATAGACGCCATAGATTTTTTTTTTTTTGTAATTTAGTTTCGTTTGACTTGTGACAGTTGTTTGCGTTCGAATCTATGATTTTTCTTTCCTTTATTTATAAAAAATATTTAAAAGATTTTCTGTTTCTTGAATTATGTTATGTTGTACATATATAGAGTTATTAATTTGTATAATTAAGTTCTGTTTTTTATATCTTTGTAAGTTTCTCCTGTAGATCATGTGATCATAATGTAATTATGAAAGAAAACAACAGGATTTATGTGTGAATATTGTAAATAATGTTTGATGATTATATAAAAATATATATATATTAAAACAAATCTATATACAAGAGAAAGAGAGAGCAGGGCTTTATATTATATATAAATATATTGAAATGAATATTTTTTTTATATAAATATATATATATTATGAATAGATATTGTAATATTTTATATCAAATATTTTATAGATATATTATTATTAATAAAAAAGAAAATAATCACCAACTTAAGAGTTTTATTCTTCTTCCAATTTGAGAACTTCTGCTGTAACATTTGGCATCGTTTCCTTTTTCGAAGATTTATCAGTTAAGTATGGTTTTATTACTTTGTAGTATAAATTACAGGTAAAGTTGTCAAAATTGACAAAATTGAAAACAGGTGATCTTTACATATTTATTTAAATGTGATGACGTATTGAAGGATCAATAAAGTGAAATAAGTTATGTAATCGTATCGTTCAGTTAATGTTGGCAAATAAATGTTTGTTATTGCAAATGATTTATTTCTCATACAAAATGAATAATCAATTGGAAATATTTGCGTTTCTTTGATGAAAATAGAAATTAATTTCTTATTTAAATCATATAAATATAATTGTACGAAAGTTCTGAAAATATATTCACTTTTTGAATGAACTATAGCATTTGTTTAACACTAAAGTTTGACAGATAAAGCGTCATCAGTAAATGTAGGTTATTATTTAGAAAATTGATGACGGTTACGTAAAAGGTATAAACAAAGCAAAAATAGTTAAATACAACTAGTTAGAAATTAATTATGTAATCTGAATGTATGGTTTTATGTTTGGTATTTAGTATAAAGGTACAAAGGTTTGAATATTTTTACAATTTCAATGATTGACAGTTAAAAAACGTCATTTTGTGCATGTTATTTATAGTTAGGATATAAATAGTGAAATGGTAAAAACTATTCAGAAATCAAATGATATATTTAGTACAAAATGATGGAATTTTAATTTCTATAATATTTGATTCTGACAGGTAAAACGTCATTAAATGTAGATCATTATTTAGAAAATTGATGACAGTTACGTGAAAGGTATAAACAAAGCAAAAGTAGTTAAATACAACTAGTTAGTAACTAATTATGTAATCTGTTTGGTATTTAGTATAAAGATATAAAGTTTTGAATTTGTGTACGTTAGGATATTAATAGTGAAATGGTAAAAACTATTCAGAAATCAAATGATATATTTGGTACAACTAGTTAGAAACTAATTATGTAATCTCGATATATGGTTTGATGTTTGATATTTAGTTTACAAACATATAAAGGTATCAAATATGTTTACAATTTTAATGATCAAATGTTAGCATAACTTGACAGTTAAAACGTCTTTAGTTTAGGTTGTTGTCCAGATTCTAGACTCAAGATTCTAGAAGACATTTATAGATAAGATACATAGTGAAATGGTAAAAACTATTCAAAAATTGAATGATAAATATATCAATATATAAAATGAATTGGTAGAAATGATGGAATTTGGATTTGTTTAATCTTTGATGATGACAGGTAAAACGTCATTAAAAGTAGGTTACAATGTAGCTGACAGTTACAGGTAGGATATGTGAGAGTTGTTTGTAAAGATTTAGAAACGATCTTTAAATTGGTTTTGTTGTTTGAGATGAAGAAATGTTTCTTTATGCATTGTGATTTAATAAGTTCCGTGTCGTGTAATTCATGCGTCCGCTCGTAATTCACGATATATAATATGTATATATATATTTCCGATGGGTTTTCAACGCTGCCTCTGCTGTTGTGATGCATCGAAAATAGAGAGGTGGGCCAGGCAAATTATATAAATTTGTCATTTCGTATCGCGCCCGAAATAAGTCTCCCTGGACTCGGGCCAAGGCGGTGCAGGTGCGCGCTCTTTCCAAGAGACCGATCCTCCTCTTGCTCTCTACCCCGTCCTCATCCTGCCTGACCATCATCATCATCATCATGAGCATCCTTTGTCACCGCGCGCCGCAGTTATCTAACAACACACTCTATGCGGACGCCCCAAAAATAGAGTACGAGTGCCTGGAATCGTAACGTGCGTTACGTACAAGCGACGACGACTTCGAATCGCCGCTTTGTCTGCTGCTGCTGCAACAGCAGCAGGAGAAAATTTTATCAACATGCAAATGAGATACACTCACACACTTCGCTCACTTAATGTAGTGAGTGAGTGAGTGTGTGTATGTGGACCTTTCGAGTCCCACTCTGGGCATATCTCTCGCTCACTCTTTCTCGCTCTCACCACGCTTATTTATTTATAAATAAGTATTTTACGGGCGCGCCTAGCACACAAAATGTGCATAAATTAACAGCGAATGACACATATTTTACAATCTTTCGCAAGAGCTCAAAAGAAAAGGCATATTAGGCACGAGAGCGTGTGTATATCTGTTATAGAGTTATCGGTATTTCTGTTCGGGTTTTTTTTTTCTTCTTCAATATATATAAACACACACACAGTCGCATACAGTCACGTATCTCTTTCTCTGTGCATGTGTACGTTTCTTTTCTGCTTCCATTCCTAAACCGTAATTATCATTATCTGCCGTTCCACGAAACGCAATTGCGCTCTTTGTTTACGATGGACGTTGTACCCTTACATAAATCATCATCGCACAATTATCTTGCTGATAATTGCTGACACAATGTACATAGATGTCCGTTATCGTTTCCTACGATGATCTCATCGTAGGCAACCAAGTATGCTTCATTCTTAATACTTGTCATTTTTGATCTTGCCTAAATATTTGATTTTTTACGAATTGTAGTGTGCACCCAACTTTAGACATAATTTATATTAAATGATAAAAATATACATATTTGTTGCACGTAATTGTAACGCTTTCATTTGAAAAACTTCTGAGAATTCTAAAACTATCTAGTCTTTCTCTGAAGTTTATTTTTATTCAACTGTTTATTTATTGTCCTTACAATTTCAACGAATTCAAATATTCATAAACACGACATTCTATTAAAATTATTGATTAATTACTTATAGTCTTCTTCTACTCTTCCTTCATTTATATTTGCAATAAACGATAGAAAGTACGTTTGGTTAACTATATAAACGCATGATACAAGTATAATTATGAAGTCAATTATGAATTTTTGTTTTTGTATTGGAATACGTTTGCAATGTCGGTAACTTTAGAAAATTATAAAACTTCACGTATTTTTGATTATGCAATGATAAAGTCCATAACAATTCCTCATATATTGATATATAATAAATCATATTATTCACTTTTGGTTTGTGGTATTAAAACCAATTTTAGATTTATGTAGCACCGTAGATCACGACAGACGTTTGCATATTCCACAGCACCGTATTTTTACGTTATTAAAATATTAAAGAAAATGTTCATAACAGTATTAAGAATTTCTTAAGGTAATTATTAATAAGTGTTAAAACAAAAAAGTACATAATTAAATGCATTTAGTTAAGATATATTTGTAGATATATATTTAATACTTGCTTGATAATAAAAGTAGAATACAAATATAGTTTGTGAAAATAATAATAATAAAAATAAAGAACAGCAAGAAAAGCCTAACAACCTTGAAATAGATTAAACACCAAGCGAGTGCCGCCCCTGCTCCAAGTTTTCAAGTCAATAAATAGTAATAAAAAATATATGTAAAAGAACAAAATACACATTTATATGCATATTAGTATTATATTTTTGTTTGTTTGTTTGTTTGCAAACACTAAACTCCTTATATAATCTTCTTATATTTTATATAGATTTAGATATATATGTTTTCATTTTTATATTGCATTAGCAGCTACATTTGTTAGCTCAATCAATACACTTTGTCAGCCGTAATTCTAAAGCCACCTAGAATTGAAGTCTGAATTATAATATAGAATCGTCTATAGGAGAATTTAATGCTGTGTGCATGCTTAAATAGAAATTTCTGTGATTATATAGATTTTTTAATTTTGGAATAGGGTTCGGGTGAAGTCAATGTAGTCGAGAGCCCCTGCAATAGGTCTTTCCGTCTTGGGCTCCACGAAAGGTTTCATACGATCCACGCAATAATCCGCCATTTCCTTGGTAAGATTCTAAAAAAAAAAGAAGAACATTAAATACACATAATTCACAATCACTAAAATGTATGGTCTTGATACTATAAATACTTTTAGTTGTAGATAAGATAATGGATACTTACAGCATATAATTCTTCTTTGGTGACGTACGGTCTATCGCCGGCGGTGATGGCTCTGAAGGCTTTCTCAATCTCTTCAGAGCTTTGCACGTTCTCCGTCTCCTTGCTGATCATGAATGCCATGTACTCTTGCAGGGAAACGTATCCGTCGCGGTTCGGGTCGACAACATCCAGAATTGCATCGAACTCTGGATCAGGTTGTCCGTCCTCCACCATGGGCAGATCGTAACCCAAGGCTCTCAAGCAGCTCTTGAACTCGCCGTGGTTCAATTTACCGGACTTTTCCTTGTCGAAATGCTTGAACATCATGGAGAATTCCTTGAGGGCATCCTCCGAGACTCCGGATTGATTGCGAGCCTGAATCTGCTGTTCCAAGTTGTGCTGCATCCTCATTCCCAGCTGATCCAATTGATCCCACTGCTGGGCGAGACCGACAGTCGAGTGTTCCGTGTATCTGTTGTCCAAAATCAAATGCTCTTCTAGGATTGCGCCCAAATCTTCGATCTTCTTCAAATCGGAGCGTCTAGCTCTGACTTCAGCAGCCTTGCGTTTCGTTGCGTCCAACTGTTGCTCCAGAGATCCAGAACCTTCCATCATAGACGTACTAAAAGTAGAAATGAAAAGTTAAAAAACTGAGCAACAATCGCAGATTTACAACAGCCACATCGGTTAAGAAAACAATTAATAATTAATGTTAAAACCACAGAAACAAATTAATGCGTTAATTAATTAATTGCAGTCGAACATCCAATTATTATTTACCCATCCCAACCAAGAATGCGGTAACTGAAACGTAATATCGATATATAAAGTGGTTCGATTCTTTTCCATTAAGATTATTCAAATATTGCGGTGTATAAACTTACCGAGTTTCGGTGAGCCATTGGTGGAAAGCGTTGGCGTGTTTGGCGAAGTCCTTCCTCAGCAGATCGTTCTCCTCTTGACGTTGCGCCTCCTTACCTAATTCGATGTCCCTCTCTTCGATGATCTTCTGCAGGTTTCTCCAGGTCTCTTCCAAAGCTTCCATGTTGAACCAGGTGTAAGGATTCGGGCCGACATTGAAGCTCTTGATTTTCTTGTCCAACTCTGCCAAAGCTTCGAAGTCTGCTTGGGCGGAAGACAGGGAGGCTTGGAACTGGGCGTGCGCCTCCTTCAGAGCCTTGATCTCCTCGATGGAATTGCAACGGACCGGATCAGTCAGATCCTCTTCAGCGTTCTCGAACCACGAGTTGAAAGCGGAAGCGCGTTTAGCGAATGTCAAGAACAGATCCTCGATCTGGCGGAACTGGTCCTGCATGAGTAAGAGGCGTTGCTTCCGGGCATCGGAGTCGCCCAAAAGTTTTTGCCATCTACAAAAAAGAGAACAAGAAACGTTGAAGAAATAACTGTACAATTAGCAACAAAGTAAATAAGGTACCTTTCGATGACGGTGAGGTGTCTGTCCAGGATCGTCTTCTGTTGATCGTGATTGGCGGCGATGAGTTGATCCTTGAGGGCGGTGATGTTTTGAATTCCCTCATGCTCGAAAGCGGTCAAACCAGCATCGAAGGTCTCCTGCTTGGTGAGCAAAGTCTGCACAGAAGACAAATCCCTTCCGAAGTCCTCGCTCTTGACATGGGTTTCCTTGTCGGCGATCCAGCTCTCAACAACGTCAGCCTTCCACATGAATTGCAAGTAAGCAGAGTTGTCGACAAGCTTGGCCTTGCGTCGAGCGGCCAACTGATCCAAATGGGCCAGTTTTGATTGCAATTGCTGGCAACGTTGGCTGATGCTATCTCCGTGATGATTTCCTTCGGAAATCAAGTTCTTACCGGCATCGCCAATGTCGCTGCAGCGGTTACGGTGAGCTTGGAAGTCGGTCTCAAACGCATCGTGTTTCTTGAGTAAACCTTGTACAGCAGCCATGGTGTCGCCGTAGTCTTCTACAGAGAGCAATTGCTGTTTCTCGCTGATCCATGCCTCCTCTTCTTCAACAGTAGCCAAAAATTGTTGGTATGTCAATGACTCGTCCAACTTTTGACCACGGTTAGCTGCCAACTGCTTAAGCTCAGCCCAGGCCTGGTTCAAAGCCTTCAAGCGCTGCTCGATCTCTGGAACGCCCAAGTTGGAAACGTCCATTAGTTTTTCACCAGCTTCCTGAACGGCTTGGATGGCCGGTTCGTGAGAACCGAGCTCAGCTTCCAACCTCTTATGTTTCTTCTTCAAGTTCTGGACACCGGTCAAATCGCGACCGTAATCATCGGAACCAACCAACAGTTTCTTTTCCTTGATCCAGGATTCCTCGTCGGCAATATCCCTGAAGAATTGATGCAAAGTGTTGGCTTCGTTCAATCTGGCTTGACGATGGGCGGCCAAATTCTTGATTCTCTGGTAGCGTTCATTAATCGATTGCCTCTTCTCCTGAATGCTGGCAGTGTCGAATTGGCCACTTTCAATGAGAGAATCGGCTTGCTCGTTCATATCCTTGATTCTCTCCTCGTGAGCTTGGATGTCGGCCTCGACCAATTGATGCTTCTTCATCAGATTCTGAACAGAAGCTAAATCTTTGCCGGCATCTTCGCTGGTCAACAAACTCTCAACTTCGCCCAACCAGAAGTCCAAATCTTTAACAGCAGCAATATAAGTCCTTTGCTTGTTGGCTTCTTTGAGCTTCAACAGCTTCTCGCTACTCTTTTGGGTCAAATACTCCCATTGTTCGGCGATAGATTCCAAACGCCTTTGAACGGCTTCCTCGGATCCGGCGCATTGTCTCTTGTCGATCAAGGTGTTTCCATTGGCCAACACTGATTGAATCCTGTCGGCGTTTGCAGCCAGCTCAGCCTCGAAGGCTTGGTGCTTCTGGTGTTTGGATTGAATGTTGGCTGGATCCTTGTAGCTCTCTTCAGTTGCCAGTTGCAGTTTCTCCGCGATCCAGTTCTCAATTTCATCGGCATCTCTGGAGAACTGTTGCAGGGTTTGACTTTCTCCCAGTTTCGAACGCTTCTCGATGAGAGCCTCCTTCAAGTGCCTCCACCTATCCAAAACTTGCTTCCTCTTATCGTCAATCTGTTGCGAAGCGTAGTGCTCGTTGTTGATCAATTGATCGGCCAAAGTTTGCAAAGCGGCTATCTTCTCTTCCTGTTGATGAAATAAAATAAGAAATCTAATTTTAATCTGGAATTTTCGGTTGACTTACATGTGCATTGATAGCTTTGTCGAAATCTTCGTGCTTCTTGATAAGAGCCTCGACGTTATCGCCCTTGGAGTCTACTTCTTCGGAAGCCAAGAAAGCTTCACGATCGGACATCCAGTTTTCGGCTTGCTCGCAGTCGCGATAATACAAGTTCAAGTCCAAGTTTTGGTCGAGCTGGACTCTGCGTTGAATCCAGGCGCGCTCCAATTCCTCCCTGGCTTGGTTGAGGTCTTCGAGTTTCTCTTGGATCTCGGGACTGGCGTAATGGTTGGAGCTAAGCAGTTGCTGTCCGAACTGTTCCAAAGCCAAAAATGTTCCAGCTCTGGCGTCGATTTCGGTGCGGTGTTCCTAAATCACATTAATGAAGTTAGCGTTAAGCAAATTCTCACACAACATTAAGCTTTAAATAAGACAATGTAAATACAATAAGCGAGTTTTGTTAGTGTTTAGCACAAACACACGGATCTACTACTACCTGTGGTATAATATATCCGTAACGTGCATCTAATTCTGATCTGAGAGTCTAGAATTTTTAACAAATTGAATAACTCGAGTTGTTGATGTTCATTCAAGAATTTTTTACCTGGTGACGTTCGATCAAAGCCTCGGCGCCGGTCACGTCGTTGGCGAGTTCTTCTGAACTGACCAGACCCAGCATGGAATTGATCCAAGCCAAGAGATCGCGATGGTCGTTCAAGAATCTTTGAAGGTCGTAGGAATCCAACAATTTCTCCTTGCGACTGTTAGCCTTAGCCGTCAGCTGGGTCCATTCTTCATTGATTTCCTTCTGCTTGGCGAAGGTAGTTTCAGCGGTTTCTGGATGAGTTTGCATCAAACGATTGGCAGTCTCGTCTAATTGTTTAATCTAAACACAAAATCATTGAATAACTTATGATTATTTAATAAATGATAAAAAATTACCTTATCACCAAGAGCAGCCAAATCGCGCTCCAAACCTTCGTGCTTCCTTTGCAGAGCCTGGACGCTGCGCAAATCTTTACCCAAATCGTCGTTGTTCAAGGCTTCGTCCTTCTCCTGAATCCAATCCTTGGTCTCATCGACATCGCGATGGAAGCGCTGAACCTCGTGGGCAGATCCCAGTTGGTCGGCCCTTTCGGCGGTCAACTTCTGCAAAGAACCCCATTTGGTGTTCAAATCTTGCATCTGGGTCTGGATCTTCAGAGCTGCTTCGGTCTGTCCCAATGTAACCAATTGCATGGCGATTTCGTTCATCTCGGCCAAACGCACTTCGTTTGCCTTCAGGTCGGTCTGGAAATCATCGAACTTCTTCTGCATAACCTCCACTTGTTCCAAATCCTCGCCGACGTCTTGCACTTGGGCGTGCATCTCTTTGTCCTTAATCCAGGTGGTAAGCTCGGCGGCTTCGCGGACCAAAACGTAAGCTTTCACGGTTTCGTTCAGCTTGTTTTGACGTTCTCGAGCGGACCCAATCAACCTTTCGTATTGAGAGTTGATCTGTGCTTGACGAGCAGAGATCGAATTGTTATCGACGAGGTTCTGCTGGGATGCAGTGAGACCAGCCTCGACCTTCTTCACGTAAGCAGCGGGAACGAATCCTTGGCGATCGTTAACTTCAACTTTCCACCAATCCTATTTAATTATAAAATCAGGTTAATATATAAATACATGTTTGATTGATTATAATATTACCTTGTTATTGGAATTGAGTAAAGTAAGAAGATCGCCCTTCTTCATGGATACTTCCCTTGGTGATTTTTCAGTGTAGTCGTAAAGAGCAACGACTGCTTCCTTTCCGGTGACATCGACGACTGGGGGTTCTTGTTGCTATAATATTATATATTAATTAGTTATCATTGTTGTTGTTGAAATTAGTATAACTTACTCTGCAACTTTGCGCTTGATCCTTCAAAGCTTCGATGGTGTTGCCGAAAGCGTTCAAGTCGCTCATCAAAGCTTCGTGCTTCTTAAGTAAAGCTTCTGAAGAATCTTCGTCCTTTCCGTAATCCATGCTGCTCACGATGGGTTCCTTTTCCTTCATCCAGGATTCTGCCTCGTTGGCATCGGCGTAGTATTGGTGGGCTTGAAGGGAATCCTCCAAGTCTTGTTTGCGCTGGCTCGCTTTGTCCTTCAGCTGAACCCAGTGATCATTGAGGGCGGTAACGCGATTACGGATCTCTTCGCTGGCAAAGTGTTCATCCTCCATCATCTGCTTTCCGGCTTCAAGAACGGCGGAAATCCTAGCATCGTGGTTATTAATCTCGGCTAAGACGGCTTGATGTTTCTTGATCAAATTCTGAACTCCGATCAAATCGCGTCCTCGGTTGGTGCTGGCAGCGATCGGTTCCTTCTCCCTGATCCACGCTTCTTCATCCTCGATGTCTCTGAAGAGTTGTTGCACTTGAAGAGAGTCCAACAGACGCTGCTTCCTGACAGCCATCGGTGTTTGCAAAGCGGAATAACGATCGGTCAAGATCTTTTGCTTGTGCGCAATATTGTCGGCATCGAAATGTCCGCCTTCGACGAATTGATTGGCCGCAGACTTGATTCCTTCGATACGATCTTGATGGGAGCCAACGTCGGCCTCGAGGAGGGCATGTTTCTTTTGCAGATTTTGAACAGAAGTCAAATCCTTGCCGTAGTCTTCAGACATCAGTTGTCCTTCGATCTCGGAGAGCCACAGCTCGACATCTTCGATGGTTCTGTTGAACTGTTGCTGCTGGTTTGCTTCCTCCAATTTAGATCCCTTTTTGCCGGTGGCCTGCACTAGAGTCTCCCACAGTTTTACGATCTCATCCATGCGAGATTGAATACGTGCTAGAGTAATTAAATATAAAGTTAATATTGAAGATTAGAATTGAAGATTGCAGTTAACTTACGAGCTGCGTAATGTTTGGCTTCGATTAACTCTTCGCCGGTAGACGTGATTTCTTCCATTCTAGTCCTGTTGGCGTTCAACTCCTGCTGGAAGTTCTGGTGCTTCTGCCATTTACCGCCAAGATTGGTTGGATCCAAGTAACTCTCGTCGGTGGCAAACTTGAGTTTCTCGTTGATCCATCCCTTGGTTTCGTCGCAGTCGCGCTCGAAGTGCTGCAATTTGGATGCATCTTGCAGCAAGGACTTCCTTTGCGCTGATTTTTCTTTCAATTCGGAACGTCTTTCCAACAGCTACAAAAAAATAAATTATTTCAATAATAAGTAAACTCTGTTAGTGTTTGTGGTATAATTACCATAGAACGTCTTTGGGCTACATCGTCAGCGGCGTAATGCTCGCCATCGATCAGTTTCGTTGCGAATTCGTCTAAGGCCTTGATTTTCTCCTCTTGGGCAGCAAGGGATTTTTCGAAATCTTCGTGTTTCTTGATCAAAGCTTCCACTGAGTCCAAGGAATCGCCTAGATCTTCGTTGGCCAGGAAAGCTTCCTGCTTGGCCATCCATGTGTCGGCAAGTTCGGTATCGCGGTAGAACAATTGCAAATCCATGCATTGTTCGTACAAGATTCTGCGCTCCTCCCACAGAGCCAGCAGCGATTTCTTGTCGGATTCCAAAGTCGAGAGTTTCTCTTTGACTTCGTCCGTTGCGTAATGTCCCCGTTCCAGCAATTGTTGGCCGGCTTTGATGGTAGCTGCAAAACTGTCTTCGCGCGCATCGATCTCACCACGGTGTTCTTGGTGCCTTTCCAACAGAGCTTCAGCGCCGGATACATCTTTAGCTAATTCATCGGCAGAGATGACGGCTTTCGTGTCATTGATCCAGGAAACCAGATCCCTGAAATCAGCCAAGAATCTGTGCAGGAAGTACGACTCGTCCAACTTTTCCCTGCGCTCCTTGGCCTTGGCAGTGAGGCTCTGCCAGTAATCCTCGATCTCATCGCGTTTGGCTTGGATCTGCTCGGCATGATCGGCGTGAATTCCGCACAATCTGTCCGCTTCCTTTCCAAGGGTGGTGACCTTATCTTCCAAAGCAGCCAAATCCCTCTCGACGCCTTCGTGCTTCCTCTGCAGAGTCTGCACGCTCGCCAAGTCTCTGCCGTAATCATCTGAAGACAAAACGACGTCCTTCTCGGCGATCCATGCGACAGTTTCGTCAGCGTCACGGTTGAAGCGCTGAATCTCGTGCGCTCCGTACAGCTTATCCTGACGCATAAGTGCCATCTGCTTCAGCTTCTGCCAAGCCTCGTTCAATTCCTCCTTCCTGTTAACAATCGTGTCCCTGTCTGGGTGTCCATCGTGGAGAAGCTTCTCCGCCAATTCGTTAACTTCGACGACGCGGTATTCCTGCGAAGCCATGTCCTTCTGGAACTCATCGAACTTCCTCTGCAGAACCTCGACATGCTCCAAATCGTGACCGAACTCCTCGGTCGTCAAGAACATGCCCTTATCCTTGATCCAGAACATGACCTCATCGCACTGTCTGATGTACTGAACAAGCACCAACGCCTGTTGCAACTTCATTCCCTTCTCGGCCAACTTGGAGAGCAACTGCTCCCACAAGCGGTGCAACTCCTCCAGACGCTTCCTAATAGTCTCCGACTCGTAATGGTTCTGGTTGATCATCTCCTTGCCGGTGTTATCCAGAACGACGATCGCATTGCTGTGAGCGGCTACCTCGGCCTCGAAGGCCTGGTGCTTCTGGATCTTCGCCTGCAGATTAGTCGGATCTTTGTAACTCTCATCTGAAGCGGCCTTGAGCTTCTCCAAGATCCACGACTCCAGCTCGTCAGCATCGCGCTTGAAATACTGGAATCGGCGAGCGTCTTCGAGTTTCTCCCTCTTCGCCCTTGCATCCTGCTTGAAGTGATCGTAACGCGTTAAAACCTGCTGCCTACGCTCTTGAATATCCTCAGCTGTCTCGAGGATTTTCACCTCCTTCGGTGGAGGGATTTGATCCATGTTTAAAATAAATTATAAAAAAAACTATCAATTCTGAAAAAGAAAAGAAAAGCAAAATGAAAGCATTGCGAGAGTACGATGAATACTTATATAGTAGAATTTAAAATGCACAATGGAAACAATGCGACTTTCTCCAATGGAAATATGTCAATTGAATGTAATTATACAGAGCACAGTTTTTCTTAACAAAATTACATTTGAGTTTAAAACCATTTCAATTGCATTATTTCATAATAAGTAAATGACACTTAATATAAACTTCAAGAGTCGGGCGTTGCAATTTAAACGAGAAATTACTGAACGACCTTGTACTTTATTTTGGAAACAGTCGAATGAAGATGATCTCAGACCTCTAAATCCAAAGTTAAATAACGGAACGTTGTATAATAACACATATTAACTAAGTAAATAAATATACAGCTGCACGATGACAACATCATTACTGAAAGGAGCGCTCATTTCACATTAACAACAAAATTACTATACTGAATCATCTATTTTAATCCACTTTCACTTCAGCTCTAATAAAATAATTCAACAAAAAAATAAACTGGACGAATGAAGTAAATATCAAAGACTCAAGGATTTTAAACATATACACGAATTAATAAAAAAAAAGTTTTAAATTACGTAATGCAATAAACTAGCAAAATGGAATTATGTAAATTCCAGTTTTAAAATATACAAATTATAGTTTTTAAAGTATAAACGAGTGTTAAAGACAAGCTAAAATTAACGAATTTTTAAACATATTTTGACTGTAAAATTGTATGTTTTAATCTAATCAAAGTTAATGTCAGCAAAGTAATGATGTTATACTATGTTGTACAAAAACTAAATTTAGAATTTAGGCAGGTCACAGTCATCAATCAATAAGAGTTCATCGTCATGTGAGTTTGCAGGATTAAAGTCTAACAGCGTTAATTAACTTAAGAACGAAAAATTCTACAATTTAGAGACACTTAAGTCTATTGATTTCGAAGGTTGGGTAGAGTAGAGATAACATTTATAAATAGAACAGAATCAATAGAGATGACAACTTCCCTTGCGGATGTCTGGGAATAGCTCGAATAAATATTTATGGACCTACTGGCGCCGGTGTTTATAAATATATTTTTAATAAGAAAAACAAACCTGACGAAGGTATATATGTATATTTCGGTCGATGCACACAACTATATTCTAGGCGTGAACTAAATCAACAACTGTATATTATCCAGTCGAGATTGTAATCTTATCTGCGAGACTTGCGATGAATTATGAAACGTCGAGAATATTTGCCCGATGAGTGGTCACCCAATTGCCGATGGGCTTAATTACGGCGATGACATAATACCGTAGGATGTGAGTGACCTCACGAACGTCCAGCCGAAGACTGGCGCTGGTCGCATCCGCCAATCAATAAACAGAACATTAAATGGGTCAGCCCCTTTCCAACTGCAATGCACCAATCCCCCCGCACCGTTCTAACCAATACAGGAAACGCAACAACAACAGGAATTGCGATAAAACAATAATAAAGGACTTCCGGGCTATAATTAATAGCGTTACCGGAGAGGAAAACAAACGTTCGCAGCGATGACATATTCGTCCAATAGGAATGCACGTATGTGGGGTGTGGCCTTTGACCTTTCGGTAAATTTAACAGTTAAGTTAAGGGTCAGTTTTATTGAAGACTTTAAAGAGGACGGTGTAGATTCTTACCTGTTTGTTAAAAATCTCTTGCACTTCACTTGAAATCCGAACTTCCTTCGCTTAAATCCTCATTTGGTTCGCAGCTCGTACTCAGCAAGATGGCTCCTCTTCGACAACTAATTTGCTCCTCCCCTCTGCACCGCGAAGTTGGTTGCAGATCATCAGTGCTGCCATCCTCAAAACACCAATAGTTATACCAATCATCGTGGATCATGATAAAATCATCACTTGATATAGAAAAATGGTTTTGAATTTTAACCAAATTTACCTGTAGTTTCCGCACAGTCAATTAGGTACCTGTTGTTGATTTATATGGTAACCAAGAGCAATTGGGTTGGACAACCCACACGTTATCATTTTTGACGTTATACCACTACCTCAAATCAACCTTTACACAGAAAAAAAAGGAAACAGTACAAGTTGAAATTAAAATAATGTCTTTTAAATCAATTTTATTCACCACTCTAGTTTTAAGTCTAACCAAGTCTGTGATCAGTTTTAGCTTTGGAGAATTTTTTCATGATAATGTTGTGTGTTTGTTCGGTGAGTGCTGTGGCCGCAAGCAGATCAAAGCAGATTTTTACAGTAAGTATTTATTGATGTAATCAACGATATAATGTTTAATGATTTTTTCCTTCTTGCAATGCAGAATTGGAGAACCTATTGTATTACAACATTTATGGACAACATTTGGCCAATAAGATTGTCATTGCAGCAATGAAATCACATTGGGACAGTCCGCATGCACAGAAAGCTCTAACCTTGAGTTTCCATGGATGGCCGGGGAGCGGAAAGAATTATATCACCAGGTTCATAAAGGAGAGTGTCTATCTGAAGGGCTCGAACAGCAGGTTTGTTCATCACTTCATGGGGAGAGTGCATTTCCCGCAAGAAAAAGATGTTCCTCTATATAGAGTATGTGCTGCATTCGTAAATTGATTTTCTCAAATAAGCGTTCGATTTTAGGAGAACTTGTATAATTGGATTAAAGGTAACGTGAGCGAATGTCCGTATCAGATCTTCATCTTCGACGAGGTGGACAAAATGCCTGATCGAGTTCTGGATGTGATCAAGCCGATGATTGATTACAACGAGAACGTGGATAAGGTGGACTACAGGAAGTGCGTGTTCATATTCCTATCGAATACGGGAGGCAGCATTATTACGCGCGAAACGTTGAAACTTTGGAAGGAAGGGATCAAAAGGGAAGATATTCAACTGAAACATTTCGAACAGCACATCTCCAAAGGAGTTTTTAATGAGAAAGGTGCGCTCGCGTCTAATTAGTTTACTTAATAAATTTCCTTCAATTTTCATTCTTTGCTTCAGGTGGATTCTATCATTCCGATACGATTAAGAGCAACTTGATCGATCATTACATTCCGTTTCTGCCGATGGAAATGGAGCACGTGCGGTTGTGCATCGTGAATCTCTTCGAGATGAGGCAGATCAAGAAACCGAGCGAAGAGGCGATCACGTAAATTTACTCTTACGGCGATGGTGAACTTTTTTTTTAATCTCTTGCTTGCATCGATTTGTAGAGAAGTCTTGGATTTCATCGAGTGGGGACCGGAACCGGAGCGGAAGTATTCGAAGACCGGATGCAAGAGGTTGAGTCAGAAGGTCGCCCTGGTGGCGCACAAGTATAGAAAATCGAATTCCAAGGAAGAACTTTAAAAAGTACAATTGAACAAAAACACATTCAGCTAATTCACGTACAACTCTAATTTGTACTTATTTTTTACATGTTGTATATATAAATATTTAAAATAATTAAATTGATATTAATTAAAACCTATCCAATAAACTCATTTATTTTAATAAACCTTCTTATACGTAAGCAAGCCCGACAACCGAAAGAAATCCCGACTGTATTAAAGTCCTTACGCTTGAAATCCCGACTACCATAATCCCGACAATCGAAATCCCGACTACCATAAAAATGTTATTGTAGAAATTTATAATAATCAAAGCCACTGTCGGGATTTCGATATAGTCGGGATTTTGACATAGTCGGGATTTCGATACACTCGGGATTTCAAACGTTGGGATTTCGGTTGTCGGGTTTGCGATTGCCACCGATAAGAAATACGGAGTTTGTGAGTTATGCAACCCATTTCACAAGAAGAACTTACGAATTACAGCTAAATGGATGAAACCACAGCAATGTACAAATCTCGCTATATTCCCCAAACATATGCATTTATTGAATTGATTCAATCTATTATAGTTTCTAAGAAAATCGGAAAATATGAAAATTATTATTGTGTAGATGACGCCAAACGTTGACTTATTTCAATTATCTTACATAGGCCTTAATGGTGTAATTAAAATTAATAATTAATTTAAAAACATAATAATTGTAGATTAGTCTAATTAGTATTTCATAATTTACTGATCATTATTAATATTTTCTGCAATGTGAAAATGATCTCATGGTATAGTTCATTGGGTCACTAGAAGATGGTGCTGATAACATAGTAATAGTTGTTCGAATCATGACTTCAGCTCAAATACACTAGATGTCATGTTATGTATCCAATAGAAGCAATCTCATGAAGTTACTTAATTAATTACAGTTATTACAATAAAATTGCAAGTAAAGAAATATTTCTAGAATTAAACGAATACAGCAGTTAATATAAGAAAACAGTTACTGATCAATGAAACATTTCTTACCAAACGTTTCTAGTAAACTTTAGAATCATTAATTTCTTATTAAGAATATTTGGTTTACTAATTTTCTTTAGTTCGTTTATCTGGCCAATATTTAAAAATTTTAACTATTATGACTTTTTTCTAAATACAAATTTAAAACAAATAACAAATAAAATATTAGATTAGACAAAAATAGTAGAGAATAAAATTAAAGTAAATTTATTAGAAAAATTGTGACCAGGCGCATCCACCATTAATACTGTCGACCAAAACTTAAATTTTGCTTCAGTTTAAGAATAATTTAATAATCAAACATGTTAATAGTTAACCAATGCACGTTTCGGATAGGGATTGAATGGGTGACTATTAACTAACAAGGACAAAATGAAAATTAAAAAAAAACGTAATGTAAAATAAATGAAAAGATGACGAGTATTAAATTTAATTATATTTTTATAAAGACAAAAAATATTACAATAAACTATATATGTATAATAAAAGTACGTCGACTTACGCTAAATA